GGAGCCCAGCAGGTCGAGGCTGCAGTGGCCAGGAGCAGCCACTGTACTCCAGTCTGGGCGACAGAGTAAGACTCCAACTCAAAAAAAGAAAAGAAAAGAAAAGAAAAGAGACCAATGAATAAAAACAGGCTGAACTTGATGCAAAGGAAACCAAACATGGATGATACTGGATGATTCCTAAGTGTTTACAGCCTTTGTTCCCTGTCTGCTGTCTCATTTCCTCTTCTCTGAATGCTTACCTTACTCACATGATCACTGTGCCTCGGTCTGGTACCTTCCTTGATTTTCTGGGTTAACCTCCCAGCTGACTTTTTTGCCAGCTCTTCAATGATCTTTGTAAACCCAAGACCTCCCTAAAAATGGCTTCCCTCCAGCAGTTCCACCCCCACAGTCAGTTCCCAATTTCATCTAGCTTCTGCCTGCTTTATTGCCTCGCCTTTGTGACTGGCTGTCACTTTGTATTCAACTGACTGCCACAAGCGGTCTCCCCAGACCCGAGCTTTCCCCAGTTTTCCACATGGCAGTCCTCCTCCTAGGGACAAGGCCGGATACCGGCATTCCCACAGACACAAGCAAATCACTCAGCCCTGGTGCTTTATTCCTGGTCTCCCTGTCTCTGACTTTCCATTTCTACATCCAGATTCGTATCACCTCACCCCTGGACTAAGGCATCTATCCCAGAGCTAATCCCTACTCTGATCCAGCCTATAAACAGGCATCAGAGTAACCCACTAGACTGACCCCTTAGGTCATGTTGCTGGCTCAGAAACTTCAATCAACTCCCTCCTGCCCCTGAGTCAAAGTCCTTTAGTTAGTATCCGAGGCTCACAAAAATCTGGAACCTTCCTACCTTCCTCATAATTTCTTTAAACTAGTCATTTATTTATTTATTTATTTTTATTTGTTATCAAATAAATCACGTTTATGTAGTTTTAAAAAGCAAACAGGACTGCAGGGGATACAACGAGAAGCTGTGTTCTCCCGCCCCACTGCTGATTCCTGTTCCCCAGAGGCAACTACCTCTGCTGGCGTATATATATATCCATGTCTGTAACATATCTATTCCATTATTTATTTTTTAAAAAATAGATATGGGGTTTCACTTTGTTATCCAGGCTTGACTTGAACTCTTGGGCTCAAGTGATCATCCTGCCTCAGCCTCCTGGGACTACAGGTACATGCCACCACACCACTGCTCCCAGCTTATTAATTCCTGGTTTTTGCCATATTTGACATTACTGATGGACTTTTTACTACCAAAGATGAAGACTGAGGATTTGGTTCCTGTATTCCACTCCCCAACATACATGCTGCCATCTCCTCCCCTCGTCCTCCCAACATGGAGAACCCTCACTAAGTCGATATTCAGGGTTTGTATTACGGCAAGGAAGAATACCATACATACATTTTCTACTTGTAAAATTTTTACTTCTGGAGGTAAGAACTGGTTTGTTTTCTTCCGCTTGGTTTTCAAGAACCCATCACGAATTCACCTCCAGATTCCTGGACAGGACAAGTGGCCGGGCAGTGGTCTTAATCTCTCGGTCACGTCTCTCCTTCCTCTGATGTGGACAGCTATGAGTCCACATCACAACTGTTCTACATGATTGACCCGAGTGGTCTTTCCTCCTGAGAACATGCATGGCCTCTGGGTTGAGTTCCCTATGTCCTGAATCCCATTTCTTCTTCTCTCTTGGCTTCATCTCATCTGGTGGAATAAATCATCCAGTAGCTTCCGAGAAAGGACGCGCCAATGTTAGTTTTGAAATCCAGAATGTCTGAAGATACTTTTGTCTCTACCCTCACACTCAAATGCTAAAATGACTAAGAGTCGATTTCTAGACAGGAAGTCATTTTCCACCAGAATCGGGAAGGCCCTGCTCTATGAATGTTGCCAAGAAAGCTGGCATTCTTGATTCCTGACCTTTCCATGTGCCCTGTTTCTTCCCTCTGGAAACCCTGGAGATCTTCTCCAGGTCCTCTGAAATGCCATTAGATGTACCTTAGGGTGGGTCTTTTTTCACCCTCTGGGCTGGGTATTTGGTGGGCACAGACTTCTGGCAGTGTTCTTTTTCTTTTACTCTGGATCATTTCCTGTCTTCTGTTTCAGTTCTTCTGTTCTTTCTTGCTAACACTACCATTCAGATACTGGATTTCCTGCACTCATATTCCAATTTTCTTATCTCCAAATATACCTTCCAACCATTCTATAGGATTTTTCATCTTTTGTAGTCATATGTATTAGTTTCTAAAAACTCTTATTTTCTGCATGGTTCATTTCACAGCTTCCTGTTCTTGCACAGATGCCATATTTTCTCACAAATCTTTGAGAATACTAATGATAATTTGGTTTTCCTTTCTTTTTTTTTTTTGAATTGGAGTCTCACTGTCACCCAGACTGGAGTGCAGTGGCCACTCCCGGCCACTGCAGCCTTGACCTGCTGGGCTCTGGCGATCCTTCTGCCTCAGCCTTCCAAGTAGCTGGAACTACAGGCACACGCTACCACGCCCGGCTAATTTTTTTTTATTTATTGTAGAGATGAGGTCTCGCCAAGTTGCCCAGGCGGGTCTTGAACCCTCAGGTTCAGGCCATCCACCCACCTCAGCCTCCCAAAGGCGCGGGTTTACAAGCTGAGCCACCGAGCCCGGTTGGTTTTCCTTTCTGAAGTTTTTTGTTTCAATCTCCCATATCGTTTTCACCAAGCCTCCTCCTTCTGTCTGCTGATCTTTGGTTATG